GGATGAGACCAAGTGAAATTGTGAGACAGAACTGTCTAGATAGTCGTCCATGCTTATTTTCAGGGGCTGCAAATCCGTCAGATGTTTGTCAGGTTCTATAATTTTTTTTCCCATCTCATTTACAAGTCTTTGGCTGTAAATACCGATTCTTGTATTTTCTTTGATAAACTTTTGAATCTAATTTTTTTTTTAATTGTTTTACGTTTTGCAATTTTCCTGACTTGTATTTTTGTGCATTCAATAGGGCCGGTTGGGTGATTGTTGGTTCTTGAGTGCTGTTGCTGTTTTGACTGAGGTTTCTCGTATATCAGAAGTGATAATTACTCCAGGATACAATGAGGAGGGAATCTATACTGTTCGCTTTTGTGTTCAGGTAATGTTTATGGGGTGAATTTCACGTTGAATGCTTTTTATTTCTCGTCTTACTTAGATAATGTTGACGAATGACTAAGTGTTTATGAAGCATGGGCATGCCTGTATCAGACACGAACATTGCGATGACATGTCATTTCACAATATCCATAATCTTCTAGAATTGAATATGTATATTGGCTCAGCCATGGCTAGCAAAAAGAAGGGTTACATAGAGAGACTATAATTTAAACGGGTAATTTGAATGCTATCGTTTAATGTCATGCTTATTTAGAACGCATTTGAAAGACTATAGTGCAAGATGGTTGCAATTGAGGATGATGCCTGGTGTTTTTCTGGTAGAGATCCTTCTTAAAATGTTAGCATGTGCATTTGTGCTTAATTTCTAGGCATTCATTAAGATAGATATGACTTAAAGCTTAACTTCGTCAGCTGTTGAGGTTGGTCAATAGTCTGATGATTTGTCTTGCCTTTGCTGTTTTCCAAGAGAGGATAATTACTCAATGAAGAAAACTACCAACTGTAGGAAGGATAAACATTAATAAGTAACGGGTAATACCCTCCCCTTTCCTTAAAGAAGTCTAAAATTAAACAACGCTCCCCTGCTATAAAAATATACGCAAACCTCCCTTTGAACTGAATTATGAGCAAAATACCTGTATGGTTAATGTTTTTCGTAAAAAGTATAACTCATTAGTTTCTTAGAATTTTATTTTAATATTATTTATGTGTTGAAAACTATAATTTAATTCTAGTTTAAGTTTTAAAAAGTGACAGTTATTATGGTTAAATGTATATTTAATATTTATCATGAGGATGATAGATATTTTGGTGAAAAATGTGTAATTGTTGCTTATTTTTTATTGCAAGAAAGGTAAGCCTAGTGCGTGTTCTGATGTCAGGAAGGAGAGTATAGTTTTTCAAAATGGGGGGGGGGGGAGGGCAGTGTAAGTTAATTTTGGCATCTCTCAAGAAGGATAGATTTACCCATAATTAACATGTTGTAATAAGAGATAATTTATTCAATAACTTCGGGTTTAACTATCATGTAAGCTACATTCATTGATTCACGTGTATCATCCAATCTAATTGATTGAAAATGTTTTATTTCTTCTGGGAGGTCATAAATGCTTATTATCTGGTATGAAGTTGTGTCATTTGTCATTTGTCATGTCTGGAAATTTTCTGCAAGTCATTTGATGAGACTAATGGTGTTATTTTGCTAGAAGGCTTTTGTTTAGTTCTCGTTTTTTAGATTTATCAAAAGCCATATCTTGCTACTTGCCAGACATAACTGAAGCTAGTAAGAGTAGGAGGGCTAGAATCTAAATGCATACCATTAAAGGTCTCCTTTCTATACTTTTGCTCATGTGGATTTTGGCACACTCTGCATAATAACATCGCCGGTCTGGTATATGGTCTTCTGTCTTAATCAGTACATATTCTGGTTCCTAATATCTAGGGAGAGTGGGTCCCTGTTGTTGTTGATGATTGGATTCCATGTGAATCACCGGGTAGAGCTGCATTTGCAACCAGTAAGAAGGGTAATGAACTTTGGGTCTCCATAGTGGAGAAGGCATATGCAAAGTTGCACGGCTCTTTTGAAGCATTAGAAGGTGGGCTTGTTCAGGATGCTCTTGTTGACCTCACTGGCGGCGCTGGGGAGGAAATTGACATGAGGAGTACTGAAGCCCAGATTGACCTTGCTAGTGGTAGACTCTGGTCCCAACTGTTGCGCTTCAAGCAAGAGGGTTTCCTTCTAGGGGCAGGAAGTCCTTCGGGTTCAGACGTGCACATCTCATCTAGTGGCATTGTGCAAGGGCATGCTTATTCTATACTACAGGTAATGGGAGAAAATTCCCCACCACATTAATAATCCTAATGAAATCAAATGATCATTAATGTGATTCAATTTTAGGTGAGAGAGGTCGATGGCCATAAACTGGTTCAGATCCGAAATCCCTGGGCCAATGAAGTTGAGTGGAATGGCCCGTGGTCTGATTCCTCACTTGAATGGACAGATAGGATGAAGCACAAGCTGAAACATGTTCCCCAGGTTGTCAATTTTACTTTTCTGTAGGGGATTAGTCACATGCTTTGACCCCTTACTATTTATTTACAGCAGTCTGGATCGGTTCTTAGATTACTATTGACGAGCAAAATGTTACTTTATGCTATTGTTACCTTGTATTGTTTACATTTACTATAACCAAAAGTGACATCTTTGTCTGACTTTAACAGTCAAAGGATGGTATTTTCTGGATGTCTTGGCAAGACTTCCAGATTCATTTTCGGTCAATATATGTTTGTCGGATCTATCCTCCAGAGATGCGTTACTCTGTTCATAGCCAATGGCGTGGTTACAGTGCTGGAGGTTGCCAGGATTATGATACATGGCATCAAAATCCACAGTTCAGACTGAGAGCAACTGGGCAAGATGCATCGTTTCCAATTCATGTTTTCATTACTTTAACACAGGTATTTAACATTAAGTAGCGCTTATATTAGGAAAAAGACATCTCTTGGATTTTTTTTTTTAACCTTTTGTCATAATATTGTAGGGTGTGGGGTTTTCAAGAACGACAGCTGGTTTTAGAAATTATCAATCCAGTCATGATTCGTTGATGTTCTACATTGGAATGAGAATACTCAAAACTCGAGGACGACGCGCAGCTTATAACATATACCTACATGAATCAGTTGGTGGCACAGACTATGTCAATTCTCGAGAAATATCTTGTGAAATGGTTCTGGACCCTGATCCAAAGGGATACACTATAGTTCCTACTACTATACACCCAGGGGAAGAAGCACCCTTTGTCCTTTCCGTTTTCACCAAGGCATCAATAACTTTGGAAGCTTTATAGTGCCAGTGCCTAGGGATCACGTTTCCTTCTGTTACGCTGCCCCTTGGGCTGATTAAATATGATGCTCTGCAGAAGATTCTTGAATGCTTGGGTTCTTGGTGGATCATGTGTATGCTTGGGCTGATTGAATATACTCATCGGGTATATTAACATTTTCGAAGGTTTTTTTTTTTTTAATTATTATTTGCACATTCGCTAAAGCACTTGGATCTCGTTGAACACTGGCATTTGCAGGTTGTGATGATGTGGTGCCAAACGTCTGCGAATTGCTTATTCTTGGAGATGGATCCGAATCTACTGAAGAACCAAAAGGCAGGGCCATGCATGAATGGTTGGTGACAACAGCCACGCTTCTGCCAGCAGCATCGAAGGTGCTCGCGGGGTGTTCATTTTGTAAATATAAGTGGTACTATAAAGGGGTATACTTGTAACCATTTAATCAACAAGGCAAACAAGCCGAAGAGGAGATAGCTCAGTATGAATAGAAAATCACAACTCCTGGGTTCAGGAGGGGGTACACACAAATACTGAATGTAAATTCCACCGCACTTTGACAGTTGCAAAAATTTGTACAAAACATTTTTCTAGTTGCAATACAATACGCGTCTATCTGTACTGACATGTCGTTTAGACCAGTTAACATAATAGAATTTGGGCATCAATGACACATCTTATTGATAGGTATTATGCTGTTAAGGACTTCCAAATATATTTTTCCTTTCAATTCGAAAGAAAAGGGCAGTTTTAAAAGTAATATTTGGTTCCAAATACAACTCATCTAGCTATGCTAATACTATTTTATAACTCTAACCTTGACCTGTTCAAGGTAAGGAAAGTGATTTGGAAAAAATGTTAATAACGAAGCTAATGAATCAAAGTAGTTAAAAACAACTGCTACTTTTTTGAAAAACTATATCACTTGCTTATGTCAAGATGCATGAACCAATCACAATTAGTACTGAATAGGAGCCGTTAATAATGATTGTTATATATGGTCTTAAATTATAAGATTCCACGCTAGCAAGACCCAACCAATAAAAAATCTCTAAGCCGGTTCTCTTGATGTACAACCCTCTTTGAATCAAGTCCCATTAAAAAATCTCTTAATCTTAATGCCCTGATTTCCGGTGCACATGCATGTTAAAACACCGCAACAAATTTTAATCGTTTAATGTTAAACGAATTAATAACAGATCAAATTGTTCGGTTAGGAGAATGATCGATGTGACGTCTAAACTCTAAAGCCTTAGAAAGACAATTACATAACAAGGACAGCTTAAACAAAAATCTTATAGGCTGCCATTCGATGGAGACCTGTGAATATATTTGTATTATAGAAGATACTAACTGAACCCGATGAGGCTTGAGAAGAGTCAAACGAGTTTGTGTCAAAGGGGGCTCCGAATGATTTATTAAACCTATGTTAAGTTCTAAAACAATCTCATCATAAAAATAAGAACCAGTTCCTTCCACTTCAACCACATAATATATCACAAATAATAGAGCATAAGACGGTAAATGTTTTAATTTTCCCATAGCAGAAAATTCGCCTCCTGTTTGTGTGTCCATCAATTTATATCGGTTGATAAAAACATATTAGTGAAATTTTGAAAGGCAAAATTCAGAGACTTGAGACATCTAGTTGAAAAAAGCAAACGGAAAAACCCACGGCAATAATCGATTCAAATTGCACTTCAACCAAGATAGACCCCGCGGAGGAGTTTATTGCCAAAATGCATGTCGTCCATATAAGAAAACAAGTAGAAAAGCGATGCAGCTCGTTGGTAATTCATAATCAAGACTCAGAAAAGGCCTTACGATATGCTTAAAAAGGTCTAAGTATGCAAGCCAACATCGAAACCAGAAACATTGAAACGACACACACTCAAGTTTATCTCATGCACCTAAAATCCAAAATTGCAATGAAAAGAGCATATGAGGTAAAAGTAAACTCAGCGGTAGCGACGAAGGGAGAGGGTATTGTTCCTCTTCCAAGTGGCCCTGCGAGAGGGACGAGCTTTGTGATAAAGATGTCCCCTGCCACGTAAGCCCCTGTATTTCTTGCCGGCAGAGGTAAGGCCTCGGAGCTCCCTGTGCTTGTGGACCGGGTTGCAGAGCCAGTTGATTCTTGGGTCATTGCGAACGGCGTTGTGGGCAACATCCACCAGGATGATCTCGTAGTACTTGTAGGTTGAGTCCTGTAGCGTATAAACAAGACGCAAGGGTCAGCGTTAAGGCAATAAAAACCGAAAACGAGACTTGAGAAATCAGAAACAGAACCTCATTGACCCAGTAAGAATTGAGAACCCTTAGGCCACCCAACTTGCGGCCAGCACGCTCCTCGGCAACAGACCTCTTGCTACGTTGGAATTTGAGTTGGGTAACACCCTGATTGGTAGGCTTGCCATAGACAATACCCTTGGGAACAGGCCTCTTGCGACCCCCTCTCCTCACACGAACACGGTAAATCACATAGCCCTGCTTAGCCTTGTACCCTAAGCGACGAGCCTTGTCAGGTCGGGTGGGCCTTGTCACACGCACGATCGACGGCTGCTGACGATACTCCCAGCATCTCACCCTCTGCAAGAATTTCATCACATCTGACTGCTTCTTCCGCCATAACTCGGATACGTACTTGTAAGCCCCTGTTCAATCATATTATCATTTTCCGTCCACAACAAGATAAACACAATTACAATGAAGATAAACGGAAGAGCCTACAGTACCCATCGTCTCTCAGATTCGTCAATGAGGCAGGACTCGCAGAGAACAAACTCGGCCAGCTAGCTAGGGTTTCCGCTTAATATAACTTATATAGGGCATAGTTACTGCAGGGCAGTTTTCATATGGGCCAGATAACATGTCAATTGGGCCTTTTTTAAAATATTGAGTGATACTCAGTACAACTAAAAAAAAAAAGTGTTATAAGATTTTTTTTTTTTAAGTATCATGTTAAAATATATAAGATATTTTCATTCTTGATTAATAAGCTTTTCATAAAATATTCTAAGTATAATTAATAATATTTTATAATTAAGACATCATATTATATGAAAATAAATACAAAAATAATATACAATTTTAAAGATAATTAACTCACTCATTAAGTGTGTAATTCAATTAAAAGTGTTTTATAATATTGAATGTGAAATATAAAATATTATATTTTTAGGATAGGTGTGTGTATTTATGAAAAATTAGAGCTGTAATTTAGGTTAACCTGAACCTACTTGAAAAAGTCATGCTCAAGCTTAGCTATATAAGCTTTTTTTAAGAGAGTATGATACTTTAAATTCAATTCATATAAGTTTGACCATTAAAATTTTTAGCTTCTCTATATATACATATATATAGTTACTAATTTTGATCAAGCTCAATGGGCCAGCATAAATCAAGCTTAGCTATATGAGTTTTTTAAGAGGATGGGATATTTAAACTCGATCCGAATTGAGCCCGATTCAAATAAGCCCAGCCTACCTGAATTACCAACTCTATGAAAAATTCATAAAACACCTATATATATATATATATTAAATCTAATTATTTTATTTTAAATATTAGTTTCTAATATCATATTGAAATATAATAAAATAAATAAAATAAAAATAATTTATAATTATACCTTAAAATCATGGGAATAATTAAAAGTAAATAGAAAAAAATATTTAAAAATAAATAAAATATTAATTTTTGGAAACATAAAAACCATATTTTCTAAGAAATTTCAATTTTTAATAAATCATAAAAAGATACTTGAAATAAAAAATTAATATGACAAACTTTGACAAAATTTAATCTTTTTTTAAAAAATATTTTAAAGAATCGACTCACAATAAAAGTATTGGATACATATAAAAAATTTAAAATATTTTTTAATTTCAAAAAAATAATATGGTAATACTTTGTAAATACATATAAAAAACTTATTGATGCGTATACGTATCGAATATGATAGTCAATATTAGTATCTGTTAAGCAATTTAAAGTATCCGGTACTTAATAGATCATAAATTCGTTATCTCTATCTCTACTTAACACGTATAACTTGTGCTACGGAATTGTGGGAGTGCAATTGCGACATGGGCTGAAGAATATGCGAAGTGGGCTCTATTATAATCCGTAAAAGCAAATGTTACTCATTCTCTATATTATATGAATTTTTTTTTTTTGTTTAACGCTGGAAGATGATGTGTTAGTACTATAGATTTTTTATAGCAATTAAAAAATATTTTTTTAATATCAGTTCACATGAGAATATTGTTTTAGGGGTGGAGAAAGTTTACATCAATTTTACAACCGTTTTCTACATCAATATAGAAAGTCATTTAATATTTTTTCAAAAAAAAATTAATACCTTATTTTTTATATCAGTTATTGTTACATATGATATAAAAAAATAAATTTTTACATTAATTTATATTTATATATATAATATATGTTTATATACATTACTACATTCCTGTACACAAAAATAACTAATCAGATAGCATATTCATATAAAATTTTCATTCAGAAAACACAATCTATTTTAATTATCCAAAACTATCAACCATCTAACATAATTTATTTAAAATTTGTCACAATTAAAATTTTTACAATTAACTATCCAAAACTATTCACAAGGTATCCAAAACTTGTCTAAAATTAACTAACATATTAAAATTGTCTAAAAATATATCTAAACTCTCAAACTCTTTGCAAAGTAAGTTGCCTAATGTGTGCGAATATCTTCAATTTCTTTTTTAGAGAATGGATTTGCATTGTCAAACATTTAGAATATAATTTGTAATAAAATGTTAATCAACTAATCTCAAATAACATAATAAAATAAAATTTTCAAAAATTTGTTTACCTTAATTGTAAATCCAATCATACTTAATGTGATGATGTTGAACATGTTCATTATATAAAGTCTATACAAGTTAGTCTTTATTGGTTATTTATAACTTTATATAAGAATATACCATTAGCCATCAATAAGAAATCCTAATAATTGAATAAGTTCATAAAGTGTTAGACTTACTTACCTTTAATTCGATTCATGCATGAACCTTGAATTCATATGCATACTTTTTAAGGATCATGTTTTGATATGTTCTCATTACCTTATGATCAAGATTACAAAGTTAGTAACTAATATATCCGCAAAAAATTAAATTGAATAGTTTTGAATTAATATAAACTAGGCATTATTTTTGGGTTAACTGTTAACTGATTGGCCTTGTTTTGCCTTCAAATTCCAGAGTCACTAGAATCCTTATAATGGATTCTGACCAGCATCACTTGCCTTAATCACATGAGTTTTGCTTGCCCTCTGCATCCCAACCAGGGTGGTAGAATCAAAATGGAGTGTGCTACCATGAGCCGTAGCATTTGAGCCTTCAACACCTCAATTGGAAACTCATGCTCAAACATGTTCTGACATGTTGGAAATGGGTTTTTTTTACAACTTTCTAGACTGGCTTACTCTTCCATTATTTTCTATCAAAACTATCCGACAGGTTTCTAAATACATTACTGTAATTGAATGAGCCGAGTCCCAAATTCTGCAACCCTTGCTCCTAGAGGACCATTTTGGCATCTTCATTAAGCTTGATGTATCGAAACACCACATAACCTGTGACGATTGCCTCTCTATACAATATTATAACCTATGCAATATTCTGTATATTACACTAATGGGACTTCTTCTTGTTTTTCTTTTCTTTTTTTAAAAAAGGAAGGAACCAGTTAAGACTGATTCATATTATTCATACTAGCTACTAAAAGCGATAAAACTTCCTCAGGTGGAGTAGAATATTGAATAAAACCAGGGCAGCTATCCAAAGCTTGCTTCATTAGATGATATGCAACCGCATTACCAGCACGTTTATATGTCGAATAACAGTTTCCCAATCCCTATTCAACATGGAATGTATTTCCTTGATTAGATTACCATCATGATGCACCTCAGATTGCTCGCTTTTAGTTAAATTTATGGCCTAGAGAGAGTTGCTTTCCAAGATGATCTTTTGAGCTCCTGTGTCCCAAGCAACTTTAAGACTCAGTAATATAGCCCAAAGCTCAGTCTGTAAACAGTCCTCTCCTATCCCGCTCTGCATAAATCTCATCATAAAGTCTCCCTAATGATTTTAAACCATACCTCCACAACTCCCCTTGTTCGTTAATGATAAAAAGGCTCCATCAACATTGATGAGCATCCATTTGTGGGGTGGAGTATTCCAAGATATGCCATTTATATCAATTTCTATATGTCTTATGTAATTGAAATTCTGAAGCTTCTGTTTATGCTTTCCCATGCATTCCACAATTAACTTAGCCTGATGAAATATATTTTCATTGTTCATATCCTTATCCTCAAATATTCATTTATTCCTTCTTTGCCACATAAGCCAACAACCGATAGTAAAGAACGCATTCCAGTCATTCGAGAGTTTGCCCCTGCCATTATTTAAATTCCAACTGAGCCATTGTTGCATATCACTATCAAAAAATGCATTACGATATCCAGCTATAAGGTGCTTATGCCAGTACTCATAGGTCCTGGGGCAATCACGAAGTACATGAGTCGCATCTTCAGTGATATTGGGACACCAAGCACAGCATCCATCAGTGTTCTTACCCCTCTTGTAACGTGCACTATTAGTAAGCAGTCGATTATGTTTGAAAACCCACATGAACGACTTGCATCTTTGAGGTGTATTAAGCTTCCAAATCTTTCTCTATTTACAATCTATGCTATTCACTTCCTATGTAATATGATAATAGGCCGATTTAACTGAGAAATGACCATTCTTCTCCTATTTCCAACGAACCTGCCTTCCACTATCAATCACCTCCGTCCCATCTTCCGCCTTATTCCAAGTAGCCTTAATACCAGTCCAGTATTCGATCCTTCTCTCTTCCTATCAATCGCAGGCACTAGATTAGTACTGCATTTATATTTGTTCCAGACCACTCTAGCCCATAGATTATCTTTATGAATCATAAGCTTCTACTCAAGTTTCATCATGAAAGCTTGATTTTGAGATTTTACATGTTAGATGTCGAGTCCTCTATTCTTCTTACTATTACACACATCTTTCCATGCAACAAGATGGTACGACGGTCATCGTTAGAGCCCCACACAAAATTCCTGTTAAGTTTATCAAGTTCCTCGCACATTTGTGTTGGTAGATAAACAGTTTGCATAGTGTAACTTGGTATAGCTGTACTGACAGAAGAAACCAAGGTAGATCTACCAACAAGAGAAAGAGAGATAATCTTTCAATTCACCAACCTCTTTTTAACTCTGTCCACCAAAGCTCCAAAAGTATCTTTATCCATCGGTTGAGTGTAAATGGACTCCCAGATAGCGACTGAGGTCCGCAAATCTCGAGAATCCGGAAGTACTGCTGATTTCTTCACGTCAAGCATTATGAACATTCTTTGAAAAATACACGTGTTTTAAGGGCATTAAATTTCATCCCAGAGCTAGCACAAAACTGGCTTGAGCAATCACCAATACTTTCAGCTTGTGTCACTGAAGCCTCAGTAAATAGCATAATATCATCTACAAAGAAAAGATGAGAAATAGGTCCTATTTCCTTAATCTGATTGGCTTCTAGACGTTAGCTGCAACTCTCTGTTGAATCATGTGTGCCAATCTTTCTATGCAAATGACAAATAAATATGGAGATAGAGGATCTCCTTGTCGTACTCCTCGAGTTGGTAAAAAAGTGTTTGATTTATTACCATTCCAGAGCAGCTGCAAAGATGTTGATAAGACACATTGTCTAATAGTATTAACAATATGTTCCAGAAATTTAACTTCTATAAGGCAATTGATCAGAAAACTCCAACTGAGCCTATCATAAGCCTTTTCAAGATCAATTTTAATGGCCATGAAACCTGTTTTTTTCTGCATAATTCTCATAGAATGAAGAACTTCTTAAGCAACAACAATGTTATCAGTGTTATGTCTACTAGGAACAAAACTGCATTGATTAGGGGCAATAATATCAGGGAGAAAAGACTTCATCTGATTAGTAATCACCTTCATAATAGTTTTAAATATCACATTCCACAAGCTAATAGGATGAAGATCACAAAGTGTCTCCGGTGTATCCTTCCTAGTAACGAGTACAATGAACGTACTATTCACCTCTTTAATTTCGTGTGGATTCTGGAAAAGATGCTGCACATAATTGGTCACATAGTCACCAACATGCTCCTATTGACTCTGAAAAAATATAGGTCCAAATCCATTGGGACCAAGTGATTTAAGAGCACCCATCCAGTGAATCGCCTCTTTTATCTCTTCCTTCTCGATTCCTCTGCCAAAGTGAACTAGCGTGTCCTCGCTCAAAGGAGGATAATTTATTGATGTGTCCAATAGGGGCCAAGAATTGACCTATTCAGAAAAAAGGTCCGTAAACTAGTTTGTAGCCATATCTATAATTTCCTATTCATTAAAAATCCACTCATCATTACCTCCCTCTCTACGAATAGCTCTAATTCTGTTATACTTCCTTCTCCCATTAGCCACATTATGGAAATATTTCCTGTTCTTATCCCCAGTAAAGCCCAATTGCTTTCGGCTTTATGGGCCCAGATTAAGTTTTCCAGCATTGATACTTCTTCAAGCTCGATCCACAACTCCATTTGAAGCTTTTCAAGCCTTCAGTTTTGTTCGCCATTTTTCATTGCTATAGAAATATCTCCCAACCGTTTATAAAGTTTTCTTTTTCTGAAGTCAGTGAGCCTGAATATCTCCCTGTTCCACTTAAAATAAGCCTCAGTAAACTGTTCAGTTTGATCCTTCCATGAGATTGAAGCCTTCCATTTTTCTCTGACTAGAGTTTCAAACTTTTCATGTAGGACCCATGCAGTAATAAAGCGAAAAGGACGTTTATCTTGCCTCCCATAATCTTGAGTTTGCAAACAAACAAGAAGAGGTCTCTGGTCTGATGAGAACTAATGTTGGCCATAACTCTGAAGTAAGTGTGTCACTGTACCATCCCGAAAAGCATCAATCCAGTTTATGTTGGCCATAACTCTATCAATCCTGCTCTCCATTTCTCCTTTGTGCCAAGTGAATTTTAGTCCAAGAAACCCAATATCACTCATTTGACAATCAAGGGCCTACCTTTCAAAATCCTTGTCAACTCTAGTAATATGCTAAGCATTCGATCTTCGTTCATTGTTTAAGAGGGTAGCATTAAAGTCACCCCCTAACACCAGCTGCCATGAATTTCCTCTTTTAGCCTGCTAAGTTCTTTCCAAAGGTTTTTCCTTACATTGGAATTAGGACTTGCATAGACAATAGTCATCCACCAATGCTCACGTTTCATATTTTCAATTCTTAGATGAACAAACTAGAAGTGTTGCTCAACCACATGAACTCCGATGTAGTTCGAGTCCCACGGGCACCAGATCCCCCCTCTAAACCCCTCGACATCCACAACTATTTTTCCATTATGGCACTCAAAAAATGTGACACAGATGGCACGTGAGAGCGGAGGTTCCAGCCTTTGTAGTAGAAATTGACAGAATGGAAGTTACCACCAAAATTTTGAGAAAAACTTTGGGAAACCAATTAAAAGGGGTAAGAATGGCTTGTGAAATCAAAAAATATGTTTAAGAGTCAATTGATTGTGGAAAAAGTATTAGGATCCCACAATATCCTTTTATAAAAATGGTTACCTAAAGTTAATTGTGCTAAATTAATATGGCTTTAAAGTTATTTTAATTATCCATTTCTTATTCACATATTTTAAAAAATAATAATGATAAATTGAAAAAATATTTATTTATTTATGAGGAACGACTTGACTCAAAATAAGACTCTGAGATCTTGGAATGGGAATTAAAGTCCACATAGTTTCGGAATTATAAATTATTGGTAAAAATATTTTTTGAAGATTAATTAATTAAAAATAATTCACCATTTTGCAAATAAAATAATTTTATGAAATTTTAATATTTTTTTAAATGTAAAAAGTAATTTAATTTCAATTATTTTCTCTGTTTTTTGAATTTTGAGATAAGAAAAAGGCAAAGAGTTTAAAATATTTTTTTATATTTTTATTATTGAAAATTTAACTATTATATCTGCAAAACTTTATTGACTCATACGATAATGTAATTATTTTAAATATTTGTGAAGATTTTGAAATTTCATACAATAAAAAAGTTTAACAACTTAATTTATTTTATTTAAATTTTTAAGTATTAATAACATATATATTTTTTTAAGCGTGCATGTACAGAATTTTTTATCTCACACGAGAAAAAAATTAAATAATATTTACTTAAATATGTTTTTATTAATTGATTTATCATGCGTATATACATAATGTATATTTTTTATAATCATTATACTTACAAAACTTTATTAACTCACATGGTGATATGATTACTTTAAAGGTCTATAGAGATTTAAAAAACTCATGTGACCACCAAAAGATTTATCAATTCATTATTCAAATTCATTAATTTAATTAAGTAATTTAAAAAATGTTTATTATTTTATTTACAAAATTTGTTTATTTATTTATAGAAATTGAGAATCATGACATTTACAAGGACTTATTATCTCACACAATGATATAATTAATTTAAATCTCTATAAAAGTTCTTGAAATCTTACATGAGACTTAAATATTTTATTAATTTAAATTATAAAAAGAGAGTTAATTTTAATGATGGGCCATTAAAACCCTTATTAATATATACGAATTAAATTTTTATACCTACAAAATCTTTTAATTACACGGTAGATGATCATTTTAAATGCCAGTGAAAATTCTTAAAATCTCATATGACAAGTAAATAATTAAAAAGAAATCCTCTCTTATTCATTTCATTTTTTTCTTTTTTAAATGGATTTCAATTGTAATAAGAATTAAACTCTCTCCCCTCAACCTTTTATAAGATAGGCCCGTCATAATAATTGAAATCGTACATGCAATCATGATTGAAAGTGCCATAAGTTATATATGAGTGTAACAATATTATAGACAAGCAAAGGACTCTGATATAGAGACGAAAATCATGCCCCCACATATTAGTATGTTCTTTCATGTTAAAAACATATTTAGGTCCAATTCAAAATCCCTGTCTAACAATCATAGTAATTCTTTCATTGTTGGAGACAACACTATAATGGGGTTATGCCTAAAATCATACCAGGCTAGTTAAGACAATAAGCAAAATTTTCATTAAGCATTTCTCCATGTTTAATATCCAACCACATATTGCAATAAAAATCTAAACACACATGTAAAACTCAAAAAATGATTTCCCCTATAACGCATGTACAAGTACACACTAGCTCAAGGTTATAAATTACAAGACAACTCTAAACAACCCTTTAATCAAAATCTTGAAAGTTCCTCAACAACTTGCTAGCCATTAGACTTTGAAACAAGCCTTAATCATAATCAGAAATATAATTTGAGACTAGATTTTATCCACCACATAGCAATGCACATGAATAATATGAACAGAGCATATAATCCATCCTTGTTCATACTGCAGCGAACCAGGATCGAACCCTCAATTAAAAATAACTATTTTTCAACATCTAAATCATATATCTAACCCAATCTGTATCCTAAAAAAAAATTGCTCAAATAATGCAAAAATCCCCAACCATTCGAAATCAAACTTTACAGACAAGATTGATAAATTTTAAAACCAAATTTTTACAGTGTGGTGTGAGAGGCTTGATCAAAAGCCAGAATTTAAAGCATGAGAATTAATCCTAAAAATGTTACCGAAATGGGTGACCTCTTCATCTTCAATCTCTCGATTCGATCAGTCTTCAGTTGTTTCCTTTGCTTCTGCCCGGATCACTCTCTTCCAACTCACCAACTTTGCTCGTGTCTTCCCTCAAAACACAGATCTCCAGACATCTCTCTCTCGATCTCCTCCCTAGAAAACTAAAATCGCTCACCCAAAATTTCCAAAAATCTCCCCTTGGGTCTAAGCTCTCAGTCCTCTCTTCCTTTTTTTTTTTTTAGAAATTTCTCAATCTCTTCTCTCAGAAATTCCCAGTACTTCGGTCTCCCTCTAGGTTCTTTTTCTAGAAATCCTCCCAAAAAATCTTCCCCAATTCCTTTGGTCTCCCTCCAGACAAATCTTATCCTCTCCAGCCCTCAATTTTCTCTCCCAAAATTCCTCAATCTCCTTTTGCTCTTTCTCGATTCTTTTTTCAGAAAATCCCCAGAAATCTCTCCTTCGATCTCTTCTCCAGAAAACCAATCACTCAAAGCCTCTTTTCGGTCCTCCTTCCACACTCGAACCCAGGCTTTATATAGAGATAGAAGAGATGGACAATTACTCACCGTTACACGCTTCAATCTTAGATCACTGTCTCTGTCTTTTGCCTTTTCCTTCTTTTTCACTACGTCGCCGTCTCTGAGTGCTGTCTGCCTTGTTCTGCTCTACGTGCGGCCGAAAGCTTTTAGGGTTGCTCTCTACGTCTCTGCTCTCCCCCACTCTTTTTCTGTGTTTTTGTGTGTGTTTCTGTCTACTCTCCTTCTATGTTGTCTGCTGGCGTGCGTTCTCTGTTTCTTTCTGAAATGCTCGTGTGAACGCGTCCGGACGAAGGGCCCAAGCTAATGGTTAAATGCTGGAAAATCCAACGTTTAACCCTTAGTTTATATTTTTTTAATCCTAACTCTCTTTTTTTAATTTTTAATTATGTTTAGTATTATTTTGTGTGTTGCGCATATAACGGAGACAATCAAATTTATAAGAATTTAAAAATACTTAATTTTTAAGAAGTTATTTTTCATAATTTTTTAATTGTTGAGATAATTTGAGAGAGATTTTTTAAAATGTAAGCAAAATATTTTTTTAATCTTATTAGATTATTATTATTATTTTAAAAAATATAATCCTAAAAAGGATTAAATTTTATTTTTATATTTTATATATTTTTTAATTATTTTAATGAACTATAAGGAGTAAAATTCTAATCAAAAGATTATAAAATTAAACCCTATTAATTAAAGATTTTTTTATCTATATTATTAAAATTTTATTTTTTTGTTGATTTGATTATTATTTTTATTAAAAAAAATATCCGAATAAAATAAGTTGTTCACACTAATGAAAGTCCAGCTTTTTTGCTATTTTATTTGCTTTCAGACTACTACTCCGTGTCTCCAGAATTGCTACAAAATCCAAGAAGTAATTCTTTTTGAAGTTTTGTATAATTTGAGGGAATAGTTTCAAGCCTGTTCCTCTTGAATTCTAAATAATGGAATTCATTAACAACTATTGTTTGTAGGAACTAGCAATCCACCTGTGCGTTGCACGGTTGGGTGAAAAAATGGTGAGGTCTTGTGTACCTATCTTTTAGTTAATATGATATTGTTAAAATGGTTCTTTGTGATATTCTCTATTAGTTATGGTGATGGTTATGTTGGGATGAGTTGGTATATGATGGGGACGCATTGTGTTGACTTTTACTGATGATGTAAGGCCTGTTCAATTAATTAAAAAAAAAAAAAAACTTGTCCATATTGGTTTGTAATTTGGGGATTCTAATTTTAGTTATGAGGTTGGGCTATACTTGGGCCATTTGAGCTGCTCTGTTTGGACTTCATTGGCACTTTTTGCTAGCCCTTCATCGTTGGCCTCTTTGTCATGGTTTGGGGAACATGTGTAAGGATGTTATGATAGGTTCTTTTCAGTTAGAGGATGTAAGTAATAATCCATTTTTGTCCCATTCATACATGGGGGGTCATTGTTTTGGTTACCTAAGTGATTGACTTGTCGAGTGGTTTGAGTGGACAGATTCATTTATTGCTTGGCCGCTTGTTGCATGATGACTCGTGAATTCATTAGGTGTTTGGCTCAAAATGGAAGTAATTAATGTCTAGCATAGTAGACTGTTATAGTATCGACATTGGGTAGGTTGGATCTATTCTTTGAAGGCATGCTAGATATTCTGTAAGAACATTATGTTGAACCTAATCGTGCAAAGGTTAACATGGTTATACTTATAATATTTTGTGCATGTGCAATTAATAAAGCTTTCAGGAGGGTTGATCCCAGGCGATACAGTAAAAAATGAAAGAGACTGTTAATGTAATATGCTAATAATATCATTCATATTTTGTTATAGAGGATGATGTGAGGACCCTACGTAGTCGGCAATAAGAGTAGGTAGTTCACAGTTATATAGTACATGTCATTTATAAGCATAGAAGATAATATATTCAGCATTATATAGATAGAAATGCTGAAACTTTCCAAAAGATATGGTCTTAGATTTGCATTCAAGTCGTCGAGGTTGACGGTGCTAGGAGAGTTCTCTTGTACTCCATGAACTCAGGCATCATTGGATCAAAGACAACTGTTGTGGCCTTAGAGAAATTTGTAATGATGGGAATACCTGTATCGTGGAAGTAAAATATTGATGAAGGTGTTATTGTAAAGTTGCATTGTTATTATTGAATCTTTGAAATTATGCATTAAACCTGAATGAAGCCCTTCCATCACAAACATGATAAGAACCACACAGTCCTTGGGGTTCTTCAAACGATTAAAATCTCGTTGGGCCAATAAAGTAGTCTTGCCATATAAGAAACAATTGGTCTTTTCTTGCCTGCATGGAAAAGAAGGTAACGTACTTGTATATTGAAGTTTAGTTATGGTGGCAGATGTTCTTGTAAGTAAAAGCCTTACCAAACACTTTGTATCATGATAGGTAGTTCTTCAATCAGGTCACCCTCGATCCATACATAATTCATTGGACTCACTTGGACAACAGTGCCGTACACATTTGTATAGAAGTAGGATGACGTCAAATGAGTTAATGATATTTTTTACCTCATCTTCATAAAAATGGAAACTTTAGAATAAAGG